TATTAGGATAATGTCACTCATACAGAAACCAATTTTTAATATAATATAAGTAATAATAAGCAAGACACACACTGAAACACATGGACCGTAAACACATAAACCAAAGCACATAAAATATACATCAAAACAAACATGTAGAAATCAATTTGCAGGTTTTACTAATAAAAAAAAATAAAAAAGTGCTAATGATAATTGTAATTATTACGAAAAAGAAAACTAAAACAATACTTAAATCATAAGGATAATAATGCTAAAATGTTAGAATAAAATATTTTTAAATTGATATTGTTTAAGATGGTAAAGGTATTTTAGGATATATTTTTTAAACTCATTAAAAATGCATGCAAGGCTCTTGTTCCATTCACAGACGCACTGATAAACAATAGAACGTTTACCATACTTTTGGGTTTTAAAAGATGGTACATTTAGTTTTCCATTGTGTATATTTCTAGTCGAGTAGGAATGTAACTAACTACTTTCTGTGAACAAGTTTGTGATAGGAGATGGTATATTTTTATTTAAAGAGTCAAAAACAAAAAGAAAATTAGCATACTTTACTAGCGCTGGAAATATTGGAATGAAAAGTTTTTTGAAAGACTTTGATGTATCTGATTTAATTGGTTGGAAGTTTACTAATTTGATGGATTGACGCTGAGACGATAGCAACTTGTTAATGCGATAGTTTCAAACTTGACCCCAAACTTGACAACAATAGCTAAGATGAGATGAGAGTAATGGATTGTAAATACTCCTAAGTGTAACTTTATTGACATAATGACGAATTATTGAAAGCATACCGTTAGCTCGAAATTTTTGCTTAGTTTATCAATATGAAAGTTCCATGAAAGATTACAATCAATTAATACACCAAGATATTTAATAACTCTTGAAGGATATAGCCGTTTATTATTAATTTTGATTTTGATTTCAACATTTTTGAAGAAATTGTTTTTTTTTTGGAGATGAAAAAAAAATTAGTTCAGTTTTTTCGGTGTTGAGACATATTAGGTTAGCATTTAACCAGTGAACTATACCTTTTAGATCTGAATTAACATTTTTACATAAAGAATGATACGATTTGTTGATGTGCAAGAGATTTGTATTATCAGCAAACAGATGGACTGAAGAGAAGTGAACAGAGTTGATTAGGTCGTTAACGTAGATTAAAAACAAAAGAGGACCTAGAACATAACCTTGAGGAACACCACACAAAACTGATTTATAACTAGAATTGAAACCATTAATACTTACAAATTGTTTTCGATCTGAAAGATAAGATCGAAACCAGTCATTTACAATACCGCGAATTCTATAATGTTTTAATTTAGAAATTAAAATAATATGTTCAACAGTATCAAAAGCTTTTTGTAAATCGATGAAATCACCCCAAACGAAATGACCAGTATCAAGAGCTTTCCTGATTTTTTTATACTTATTAATGCATGGCAAGTAGAATGTTTTGATCGAAAACCAAATTGAAAATCATTTGAACAATTAAATAAGTTTAGAAAAGAGTACACTCTAGAATACATAAGTTTTTCAAGGAACTTACTAATATTAGATAAAAGTGAAATAGGTCTGTAGTTAGTGCATGAAAGTTTTGAGCCATTTTTAAATATTGGAATAACGCAAGATAATTTCAAAATATCAGGAAATTTTCCATTTATAAATGAGAAATTAAATAGTTTAGAAAGAATATTTGAAAAATCATAGTTAAAATCTATTAGAATATTTGTGGGAATACTGTTAGGACCTAACGATGTTTTTGGATTTAATTTAGATATAAGAAATTAAATTTCAGAAATATTTGTTGGAGATAATAATAAACTATGTAAATTTGGATGTTTAAGATATTTTTGATAGTTAATGTAAGATGAATGATTATCATACAATACAAGTATAGGAATTGTAAGTATAAGGTATTACTATGTATATTATGAAATTATTGTTAATAATACAAGTGTATAATTTTAAATCAAATTCAAAAAAAGTCAATGATTAAAAAATGAGGTTGATGCATAACAGTACAACCATTTTTTTGCATTTAAACACCAAATTATATCTTTATTTATATTTGACGGTGGGTAAACTTCGTTAACATCAGTCATTTTGCTTGCATAAAATATAGAAAAATCAATAGAAAAGAGTGGATAATGTAAAAATAATTTAAAAGCATTCCTTTTGATGACTTTTTAAATGTTTCTGACTAAACCAATATTTTGATTAAACTCAAGCCAATTGTTACAATCACTAGCAGAAACAAAACTTTATATTTTGATCATTTTAAAAATGCAAACAGTGTCTCAATTGAATATTTATTACATGTTTAATAGTTCCTGGAACATTTGTTTAACAAATATGTTAAACTTTGTAAATTTACTTTAAAAATATATATAAAAAAGTTTGTTTATAATGGTAATAAATAAATAAAATTTTAAAACAACGTCTGTTTAATGGAGTTTCACAGTGAAAAAACATATAAAAAAAAATTATATTTAATTACAATGTAAGTATAATATGTACAAAAAATGTAATGCATAAATGTTAAATTTTCAATTTTATTTCACGCACAATACAAATTATAAATGGCAATCATCGTTTAAGTTATGTTATGCTTTTTTTTAAACCTTTTGGGAACCTTATGGAAAACCCGTCTAATTCCCAGATTCTTCGGCCCGGATAAAAATCAGATAAAACCCAAACGAGCAAATATGCTTAATTTTATTTTCATATGGGACCCGTCTGGAAACCAAAACACCTACCCGTCAAAATCCCGTTCCCGTAAGCCCAGACAAAAAATCATACGGTACCCGTCTGTAAATATTCCTAGTGGTAAAAGTTTTATGATCTGATTATGTTAGTATTATAGGTTCGGTTTCCTTTAACAATATAAAGATGCATTAGGCAAAAAAGAAGGCATTTTTGTAAAGGGATAGCTGAGATAGTGATGAAAATTCTACACGTGATAACAAAACATTGCACCAATGTGATTTGAAAGTTTGTTTCCTTTATTTTAGAATTTTTTTTTTCTACATTTTTTTAACAGCAAGGCGTACTGAAAGACATTTAGTTAGGCAAGACATAGAAATTAAATCTTTTTTACTTTGAGAATGTCATTTTTAAAGTCATGATTTTTTTTCCTTTGCTCTATGGAAGTCTTTTATAAATAATAACAATGAAAGGACATATTAACATTTTTTTGAAACCAACATTTTAAAAGTAATATTCTTGAAACCGACATTTCAAAATAAAAGATATGTGGAATCTTTTTTAAACAAAACTGCAGCAAGACAAATTTGTTCTCTATAAAATTTACAAGCAACGTTAACGCCAGGTTTAACAAAATTCGTTTTAACAGTCACAAATTTTCTGGCAATTTTTGTTCCAAAACTGCATTTATTTTTTAATATGATGAAGTGATAGAAAGATGCGCTGAGTCTTTTATATTTAAAGAGGTAGTTAAAAGCGAGATAGTTGTAAAATCCGAACAAGTTTTGAGTACAAAACGTCTTTTTGCCTTTCACTTTAGTTTTTAAGCAAGAAAAGAGTACTGTTTAAATTAATTTATTCTGATCCGTAACTCGTGTAAAGTGCAACTTGTAGATAAACAATGGTCTAATAATCATTTTGTACAATTATTTTCTATCTAAAAAATAATCCATTGTCTTTTATTAATTAAGGAAAGGTAAAAACATTCAGGCATCAATTGAGATCGACATTATTTTTGTTTATTTATCCCCTATAAAGATGGCTCCGAAATCTCATACGCCAAAACCAACCCTTATAAAAATCGGTAAATAGATAACTATGAAAATAGCGCATAATATATTTAATTAGGTGAATCTAGGCATCTAACACCGTGAAGAGACGATTTTCTTTCTTAAATTTTTTAAGAAGTAACTTTAGAATTTTTCATTCCAAATATATATACGGGGTAATGAGCTCAAAGTATACGGAAAAGGTGCGTATGTAACTTTCATTTTTGCTCATAATCTATTGTTTACAAAAAATATTGGGAGAATAGACATAATCGATGTGGAAAAGAGTTTCTCTTTTTATGAGAAAAACAAAGTATTCTATAAATCATTTATAAGCTTAAAGATACTTATTTCGAAAATTTTAGAATTTTTTTTGTTACCAAATAATTTTTAAGTTAGTAAGAAAAGATTTGTGTAAAATAAATTAGTATAGCTTTGGTAAAAACCCGTATTTTACTTGTCCGGAAAGCTTGGATATACATATAAAGAAAAAGTATAGAAAATGTTAGCTTGAAATAGACTTACAAAGACCTGTGTTCTTACAGGTTCGGTCAGGTGAAACTTTTTATACCGATGGTCACGTTTCAAGCGGGTATTTAGACAGGTACTAATATCTAATCAGCGATTTACGCAACGGTTACTGTAACATTTAAAGTTTTTTAAGGTTAGTTATAACAGAAATTTTTATTTCTCATTGCTTTAAGAAGAAAACAATAAGTATAGTTTTTCTAGTTATGTATATAGCTATTTTTCTACAGCTCACTACAAAATATTGAAGTTAGGAATAAGTATAGAAAAGAGCGACGTGGAAAAAATTTACTAAGACTCGTATTTTACGGGTTATGATAGCTAGTTAAAAAATAATCTCATAAATTATCTTCTTAATAACACATGTTTACATAGTTTTCTATGTTAATTAAACTATAATAAAAAATCTATAAAGTGACGTCCTTTTCTGACAAGCTTCTTTCTCCCCTTGCTTTTTTTGGTCCTTTTTACCTCGACTCCCTCATCCCCCTATTTGGATGACGTCTTATATGGATGACCCCTTAACGAAAATGACACATGATATTTTTTAAGTAATTTATGCGCTTTAAAATAACGTTTAGATAATTTGACGTTTAAATAAAATTAAAACATATTTTTTAAGTAAATAACGCGCTTTTTAAAATATTATAACTTCCGCATGATATGTAAGCATTACGTCAGCCTTACATTTTCAGGGACTCAGTAAACTGGGTAAATATATATTAGATACATTAAATATTTCATTTATTATTTATCAATTGCTGTTTATATTTTATTTAAGAAATTAAACATTTTTTTCGCATCTTAATATTTTTTAATTCATCAAGGTTACGAAAATACTTTTCACGGTAGATGATTGACAAATTCTTGAGATTCAAACAGCTGATCCATTCACAAATTTCTTCAATGAAATTGATGTCATCGTGAAGCGAAAGAGTTAATACTTCACAAAGATTAATCCATGGAAGAAAATTTTCTTCAAAATCTTTTTTTGTTATTAAATCATCTGAGATGTTTATCCTCAACACTTGAATCTTATCTTTCGGTTTCCATCCTTCTAATTTAATTGGACACTTAAATGTGACATCGCGAACATTTGATGAGCATTGAATTAAAAGATTTTTTTCTTCATCACTTAAAATTTTTTTATGAACGATTAACCAAGATAACTTACTTCCAGATTTTATGTAATGATTAACGAAATAGTTATCACAAGAAGTTTTGTAAGAAGTTTTTCCATCGTGAATCGAAATCGCCCACTCTCGTCCATCGACAATTGTTTTTAATTCTCCAATTAGTGATTGACTTTCATAAAAACATTCAACGAATAATTTAATGTAATAATATTCATGTTGAACTTTAAGCTGAGATTCGTTTTCACTTTCACGAGATAATTTAAGTAGACGATCTAAAGAAAAAATTAATATCATATATAAATAAACAAATAAATATTAATTTCAGTAATAATCGAAGTTATAAAACCTATTATATAATACAATAAAAAATCTAGATATTAATAAATATATTTATATTAAGTTACAAATAAAAAAAAAACTTATATACAATGTCTATATAATGTATTTAATAATAAGATATTGTATATGTATGTATGTATGTATGTATATATATATATATGTAATACATATATATATATATATATATATATATATATATATATATATATATGTAATACATATATATGTAATACATATATATATATATATATATATATATATATATATATATATATATATATATATATATATATACATATATATATATATATATACATATATATATATATATATATATATATATATATATATATATATATATATATATATATATATATATATATATATATATATATATATATATATATATATATATATATATATATATATAATCAGGAGTATACACTCGGACTTTTGGTCAGTCGCATGAAGGGCGACTGAAACTAACCAGTTTGTTAATTTTGGTCGCCCGCCGACGTTTTGAGTCGCCCGTTACCATTTTTTAAAAAAAATTTCCACTTAGCGAAGTTCTCGCATGTTTTAGTCATTTTTTGTTATATGGCTAAATGTACACTAGAAACAATATGCGCAAATAAAAGTAATATTGAAAACTAGTGATAAAATTCAATTTTTTAATTTCAAAAACAAACACATGCCATGATATTTTTAAACTTTATGTGAGCACTCATTTTATAAAAAAATAGACGTTCGATTACAACAAAAAACTCTTGACAAATATAAAAAACAATTTACAAATACTTTAAAACCCTTTTTGCTTTTAATGTGTTGTAATTATTTCGATCTTATTTGTTACAAGAAAAACTATTTTTATTTTGAAAGGTAAAAAACATTCAAGATTCAAAATGATTATATATCATCATTAACAGCTCTATCACTGTCGTCATAGCTACTAGCAAAAATCTGTATTTTCTTTGACTTTTTATCTGACACAACTGGAGTTTTGTTGTTCATGTAAAGCTTTTTTGATTGATGCTAGTTTTATTTTTTTGTGATTAAAGCCAGAGTTTAATGGCTTTTAAAGCCATTAAACCATGGCTTTAAAAGCCAGTGTTTAAAGGCTTTTGTTGGATCGTATAAGTCCATTTCTGGACCATCAATCTCGATGCGCAATCGCATAGTTAATAACTTGTTACTGACTCGTGTTCTTTGAATTGATTTAATGTTTTTCATTGCGCTAAAGCCTTTTTCCGCGTCTGCCGAACTTAAGCTATGGTAAAATAAAAAATCAATCAGAGAAAAAAGATTAGCAAATCTATCTGGTTTGATATTAGTCGCTATTTGTGACCAAGATAGCGGTGGAAATGATTTTGAACTTGCACTTGTCCAAGTTGCCATTATTTTCTTCAATATTATCCACTCTGATAAAATATTTCTACTCGTTTATATTCGAGTTGCTGACGCAGCATATCGTCGTCAGTAAGGGCTTTTATGTTATTGTCTAGCATGTTTTTATGTAACTTTTTGTTGTTTTCAGCCGTAAAAAAGTCGCTCTCCGTTCATTCAACTGTGTTTACCCAACTCGTCCGCCTCCGCAAAGACATCTGATACATTTGAACATCGTTTCAATAAAATAATTCAGCCAATCGCTATCTCAATAATTTAGACCTTCCTATATTTATGAACAGTAGTGTACTCGATGAGTCTCCTACCCTTTATTTTCTAGGATTAACTCTTACTTCTGATTTTTCTTGGAAACCTTATATTAAATCCGTTGCAAAATTAGCATCTGCTCAAGTCGTTTCTCTTTATCGAGCTTGTCACTTTCTATTCTCTATCTCTATAAATCTCAAATCTGACCTTGTATGGAATACTTTTGCCATATTTTGGACAGATCTTCTATGGGTGCCTTTTCTTTTTTAGACAAGGTGCAAAAACGCATTGTAAACATAGTTGGACCTGCTCTTGCAGCCAACTTTCAACTTCTGTCACATCGTCGTAATGTTGCTTCTCTTTCTCTTTTCTACAAAAACTATATTGGGCACTGCTCTAAAGAGCTAGCGTCTCTTGTGCCATCTACTAAAATTCATTTTCGTGTTACTCGTCATTCAATTAAGTCTCATCCTTTTTCTGTTACAGTTATTAAGTGCTCCAAAAACTCTTATTCGTCAAGTTTTTTTCCTCGAACATCAGTTCTTTGGAATTCGCTTCCTTCATCTTGTTTTCCTGATTCATATAATTTGCAATCTCTTACATTGTCTGTCAATTGTTATCTTGCTCTACAATCTTCATCTTTTCTCTTCCAGTAACTTCCAACACTAAATAGTGGTTGCTTGCAGCCTTGTTGGAAGCGAAGTTGTTAAAAAAAACAAAAACAAGGGCGACTGAACAAGTTATAGTTTAATAAGTTAGAGCAAGAAATTGAATGAAACCATGTTTCCATTATGATTGGTATTGTTCAATCAAAACTGAAAGTTTATCTATTTTTACCTGTTACATTAGTGTACATACAGTTTAGTGTATTTGAGTCAATTTTGATGATGTTTGGTTTAAAATATTTACTAATTGGAGTTTCTTAGGAGAGTATGGTTTTTTTTATTTTGATAGAAATGATTTGCAATGTTAGTAACTTTATCAATATTAAAGTTTCAATTTAAAATTTTTAAATATTTTATATAATTTATTTTGATATTAGAAAAAAAATCAACACTAAATTACATGGATATTATCAGATTTCTTTTTTTAATGTAATAAAAATATGTGCACATGAGCATTATTTTCAAAAAACTAAAAGGTAATTTGAACATTAGTTATTGCAAGATTAAATTTAAAAATGCTTTGATACTATTTAATATTATTATTTTAAAAAAAATAGGAGTTCATTTAATTTTGAGCATAAAGTAATTTTGTGTGTTTAATTTTAGTCATGAACAATTATTATTACTTAAAAACTTAATTTTTTTCTTAGTTTAAATTTTTATTTGAGTAAAAATAGTTCTTCACGACTAAAACTAAAAAAATAAAATAACTTAATGCTCGAAATTAAACAAACTCCTAACTTCTCTAGTTCCATCTACCAAAGCTAAACTTGTCTTGACTTGCGATTTAGCAAACTCACATCTTTTTTACTGTATCTGTAACAGTAAAAAAGTTTAAAGCAGCTTCAAATATTCATAATACCTTTTTTGGAACTTTTTTAAAGGAGAAAAATCTTAATTAGAATAACAAGTCTAAATATGACAACAGTATTCTGTAATAACATAAATAAGAGATTTGTAGAGGTAGAGAATTGAATCTAATTCTAAATATGACGACGGTATTCTGTAAGAAGATGAATAAGAGATTTGTAGAGGTAGAGAATTAAATCAGGAACTCCTGATTAAATTCTTTACCTCTTTATTGAGCAAGATAAAGATAAGCAACTTTAGCAGAAGCTTACTTTTCTATCAATTGTAAGTATGATTTTCATGAAAGGTCAGTATGGAACGATAATCTAAGAAGACATAACAAAGAGGACTTAGTGAGAGGATTGGCATTCATGTATGTAGGAATGTTAGAAGTATTGTGATAGTTGTTTGCAGTTAACAAATTTTGTTGAAGTTTAAATTCACAAGCCACTATAAGCCACTATAAGTTAAAATTCACAAGCCAAGCCTCATTCTGTTCACAGTGCAAGCATTATTCTGTTACAGAAGTGAGATAGTTATAATGAAAATCAAAATTTTACTCATGAAATATAAAAACATTTTATTTATGCTTCGTTTAATACTTTAAACTTTGAAAAAAAATATTCAAAGAAACAGTATATGCAGATATAGACTAACTAAGGGTATTTTTAAATCATATTTTGTATCCTAAAAAAAAAAATTAACTATTAATAATAAAACACAAAACAAGACTGCACAAACTACCTGAAAAGTTGAACTACAAGATATATATTTTTAAATCATATTTCGTATCCTAAAAGAAGTTTAAAAAAATAAACAAATAATAAAACACAAAGCTACCTAAAAAAAAAGAACTACCTGAAAAGCTGAACTACAATCTAAAAACAACTAAAATTTAATCATTTAAAAATCAGCATTTTATAAAGTGTGTAATAGCTGACACATAAATTTATTTGTAATAAAACTGATGTATACATCTGGTATATTTTTAGCTATAGAACTTAATACTTTTTATTAAGTTCCATAGCTTAATACTATTGTTTGTTTAAAATAAAGAATATTAAAATATTTATCAAAAATTTTTCAAAAAAATTAAAATATTTATCTCAACTCATGTAAAATAATGCTAAACATAACAAATAAAAAAGAATTGTCTATCATTTAAAGAAATTCAAAATCTATATAATTTATATTGATTACCAAAGCATTAATTTAAAATGATTTATAATAATACAACAAAATATTAAAAACATACCTAGAATAGAAAATAAAAATGAAGATTTTTCAGAAGATTGTTTTGTAGGATTCAGGTTAACAAGAAACTTTATTAAACTATTTTGGCTTTTATTTGTTAATCCACAAATCATTGATAAGCAACTCTTCAATCTTTTTTCAGCCATAATTTCTCCACTACTTAAACAATTATATGCATAAACAGATGCACAAAACTCCATTATTGTCAGATGTGCAAATTGATAATATAAACCTAGATTCGTTTCAATCCTTTCTATAAATCCAAAAAAAGTGTCTTCATTTTTATCAAAGTCGATCACAAAAGTTTGAAAATCTTCTTTGGAAAAAATTACTTTATTTTCAACAAATAATTGATATGCAATTTTACAAATATTTAAAACATATTTTTTATTGAAATCATTTTCCATTATCTGATAAATCAATTCATTGTTTTTGATGATATGTTTTTGCAAAAAGTATAAAAAAATATTTGCATATAAATCTGTCATTGTTAAAAAAGAACTTTTATCTACATTTTTTGAGTCACTAATAATCTTACACATGGAAGATAAATAAAATGGAACAGATGACATGGATTTTGCAATCGAAGATTCCTTTAAAGTTGCTTTAACAATATCTTTTTTTTCCTCTAAAACATTATTTTCTATGAAACTATTTATTCCATTTTCATTAAATCCCATTATTTGAATGGTTAACTTATCCATTTGCTCTGTTAATATACTTTGGTATAGATCAATTGCATAAACTCTACCAGCAACTACATATTTGTACTTTTGAATTTCTGTTAAAGCATTAACAATTGGATAGTTCTGACTCGAACTTGGATTTATTAATTCATTTAAATATTTAAACTCATCTAATCCATCTATTATAAATAGTGCAGTATGATTACTAATATTAAAATCATTGATAATATCATGATAGAAAACGTTTAGTAATTCATTAATATTAGAAATATTTTGATATCGATTTAGCCTTCTGCATTCCAAATAAAATATAAGTTTAACGTTTTTCCAAATTAAATCGTTTGACCAATCAAGCAAACATTTTCTTAGCAACCATGTTTTCCCAATACCAGCTATTCCAGATATTAAAGTTACAGATTTTTCTTTCATAAATATTTCGCTATATGGAATTGGTGTATAACGCAATTGCTTTTCAAGAAATTCTATTCGTTCAACACCATAAACAGCATCTATTTGAGTATTAACTGCATCAATGATACATAGATCAACAAATTTATGCATTAAATCAACATTTGCAGCTGATTTTAATGGTGGTTGAATTTCATTGATTTTTTGATAATTTGTAAGATAATAACTCTTGAGGGCTATGCATATCTCAGATATATCTAAATACAATAACTTATCATCATCATCATTATCATTATCTATCATAAGACCAACTTCTTTATAGAAAGTCTACTTTTTTATAGAAGATTCCTATTTCACAAAAGTTGATAAGCCTTCCCAGGAAACACATGCAATTTTTTGTCTTGTATGACCACATGCAAGTATTTTATTTTAGACAACTTGGTCACAGCCATTTGCTAGTTTTATAATGTTAATTATTGTGGAAAAAGCTTTCAAAAACAAAAAAAAAGCAAAACTAGCCAAATAGTAAATAAAAAGGAATTTAAATTGAAAAAAATTAACAAAATTTGAATGCAATTTTTTTTTTATATGATCATAATGGTCTAAATTTTTTTTAGATTGTTGTGTATCCTGGTTTTTTTATAATTATTGTTTAAAATAAAAAAGATTTTGCATAATTTATGCAACAAAAAACTTTTTTTTTAAAAAAACGTAATTGCATAAAACTATTTTTTTTTTTTACGTATTTGCTTCTTGTTTTAATTTAAACAACAGTTATAAAAAAACTGTACACAACAATCTAAAAATAAACTTTAGAAAATTATAATCATATTAGAATAAAAAGTTTAACAAAATATTAAGATTTACCTTACACTCAAAGCCAATAACTTTGGAACAATTAAAGGTATTTTTTAAAATATTTTGCTGCTTAAGCACAAGGTAAGTGAACATATTTTTAGAATTTTTTTTATAATGATATTTTTTTTATATTTTATTGTATTCAAGTTTAAAAATTTTTATTTTTTGAACATCTTTAATGTGTGTGCGTCTTACTTAGAAAATACATCATTCAGAAACATACAACAAAAAGAATTTTTAGATACAAATAAGTAAAGATAAAAGGATACAAAACAAACATATGACCATTTAAAAGAAAAACAAAAAATATTGACAGTTGTGGATATGGAACCACAACTGTATAATATATATATATATATATATATATATATATATATATATATATATATATATATATATATATATATATATATATATATATATATATATATATACTTATATTATAAACCTCTGTGTAATATATAATTGCTTTATTAAAATTATACATATATATTTTACACAAAGATGGCAACTTACGCTTTTTTTATAAAAAAAAAAAAATATTGGTAAATCATTCTTTTTAATTTTTAAAACTATTTTTTTTATTGCTCTGACTTGCCGAACTTTGTTGCCGAAAATAACAACCACTCTGAAGAAACAAAAATAAAAACATACCAATTACTTAATTTATTATTATCATTATTTTCTATAGTTTATTTCAATTTCTTATTTTGTAGTATTGCTTTCTTTGCTTTTGAAACTTTTTTCAGCAACACATATAAAACTTGCAAACTGCTTTGACTAAAAAGAAGAAGGCTTAGTTGACAATGATGTTATAGTTTATGCTAGGAAATTTTTTAGATAATGTTCTTGACATTAAAAATTAAAAAACAAGAGTTTTATGTCACATCTTATGAGCTCATAAAATGTGACGTTTGCATCATGTTTCTATATTTTTTGCTTTTATGTTTAAATTTGCTATGATTCAGTTTAATTTTTATTTAAGTATGTGGCTTGCATTTAAAAACTAGGAAAATATACTCATTTCGCAAACACATAAATCGGGAAAAGATTACTACATCTGTCCAACAACATCCGTGGAGTAGTGAAATAACATCTGCACATTTTTGTGTAAGATCATCCGTTACTGAATTAACATCTGTGCAACAACATCCACAATTTCATTGATGTATAATAACATCTTTAGAAAGATGTAACTACATCTTTCTAAAGATGTTAACTTTTTCTTGATGTGTAACTACATCGGCCTAAAATAATGCATTATTAAAAATAAAATAAAAAATAAAATAAAATAAATTTCTGGACGTACTTACATCCGAAAAAAATCAAATGTGTAATTACATCTGCTTAAAGTAATACAATTTTTAATTAAACTTTTCCCGCATATGGGATCGCAGGTTACAGTATACAGTATAGTAAGTTTACTGTATACTTTACCGTATACTAAAAGTTACTATATACTTTACTATACCAGTTTTCTTTTACTTGTAAAATATTTGCGGACCGAATTGATGATTTATTACTTACATTATATTAATGAATTAATTATATGAATAAAATGAATAAATAAATGAAATTTCTTATATATTTTATCAGTTTACATATACGCTAGAAAATAAGTACAATAGAATCCCGTTAAGTCGGGAATATTATAGTCTGACATCTGACTCTCGGTAGGCATAGAAAGTCCAAGGGGAACTTAAAATTTGTCCGACTTAGTAATAGTCTTTTAAAAGTCTATTTTTTTTACTTTTACTTAGTAAAAATAAATGAGTCAAATGGATTCTACTCTATATATAAATTTAATTTACTTATAGTTCAAAAACTGTTCGTGGCCGAGAGAATAAAGCAATTCCTCGCATGCTAAAGACTCGAGGTCCAACTCTTAACGTTGTCTTTTTTTTTTGTAATAAGTTTTTTAAAATCTTGTATATACTTTAGTCAGTAAATAGGTTACTAATACAAAGAGATGTTGCAATATTGTAGAAAAAATGCAGAGGGCAACCAAGTTTATTACAGATTTGCAGAAACTGGTAAAAAAATTGACAAAGAGTTTTTGTCTATAGGCAATGTCTGAATAACTAGCGCTCCTAAGAGGCGCTCGGCCTATAAAAATTGGTGGACTAGCAGGGCCCCCATTTTCAAACTCTATATTAATTTCTATATAAACTCTATACATATTGCATATATATGCTTTTTCTTCATTCGTTTTTTTAGGAATGGGGCTGTAAATATTTTTCAGCATCTGACTGCCAAGAACCTTAATCCGGCCTAGTCTATAGCTCACCAAATGTGTCAATACAAGTACAAAGTTACCAATCTAGATTATCACACATTTTTAAATCATATCTCACTCACAATGATTTTACAAAGTTAGTATTTTGCCATCAAAGGTTTGAGGACAGACAGACATAAACCAAAGCCATAAGTCTATGTACATACTCTACGCTGCGTCAATTTAATTAATACATGCCAGGGTTGGCAAAAAAACCCAACCCAAAAAAACCCAACCCAAAAAAACCCACCTTAAAAAAACCCAATAAAACCCAAAAAAACCCAAAATATATTTGGGTTTTTTTAAAAATGACCTATTTTACAACTGATAACTCTGATTTTAACACTTATAAACGCTTTATTATCAGCAAGTGCAACCTTAATACTGTAATTACTCTTGTAAACACTGTATTTATATACATAATGGTCTTTAGAATATACCCAAAATCGATCAATCTGTTTTTGTAGCAAGTTGGTTATTTATTATTTTTTTAAAACATTTAGCAAGTTATTATAAATGTTATTGAAATATGTATTAAAACATTAAATTAGTTAAACACTTATAAAGGAAAAAAAAACTATTCTATTAACCAAATTTCAAGACATTACTAGTTATTTAGTATCTTTATTCTCCTCTCGAATGTCTATATTCCTTTATATTGGTATTTGATCTTTTATTTTTTAAAGCTTATGTTGTAAACTGCAAAAAAAAAAAAAAAAATACAAAGCCACAAGCAAAATACTATATATAAAAATTATTAAACTTTATTTACAGTTTAGAAATGGAAAGTTGTCAGGCAAAAAAAAAAATGCTACAGTTCACTAGATTTGTCCTTAAGTGCATACAACTTTAAAACTTAAAAAAAATTAAGTTATGTGCAAGCAAGTTTGCAACATGTTTGCTCATTCAATGAGAAAACATGTTGAAAACTTGTATGCATTTCACAAGGACAAGATTTGTTGGTAAAAATGACACTCGTGCTCATCTGTCTTTTGACAGGTTTTTAATATTTTGCATCAGCTACAAGTTTACAACATGTACCACCAACAGGGGTGACTATGAACAGCGGGTTGAAAATTAACATCAGTATCAAGTTGATAAAAGGTGAAGAAACACACACACAATAGAGCTATATAATGTGTTGCTTTGATTCAGTTTGCAATTTGCATTGCAAAACTGAGCCGGTAAAAAAAAAACTTGGTGGCAAAGACACTGTAATGGTTCTTAACAAATTTATTTTAGATATTTTAAGAAACAAAGTTTAGGCAAAAATCCATTTTTTGCCAGTCCAGTTGATCAGGCCGATAACTTTTCCAGGAAGCTGGACAGTATAATGTTCTGATTAAAAAAAATGTAGTGTTTAGGCTAGCAGTTTTCTTCTATGATACAAAAATGTTTAAAAAGTGTTCATAGTCATCCTGATTGATAATAACTTATAAGGTTGCAACATCGTGTTGCAAACTTGTTGATTACATGTTGTAAACTTGTGCAAAATAGTTTTTGAAATGATATGTTGAACATGTTAGTAAAAAAAACTAGTTTGCAACATTTATATTGTCTTACCAACTTTGAATAACTCAATTGTCATAATTTTTACACTGATTTTTTTTCAGTCAAAAATATTCTGAACATGTTTTTAATTTAGAGCAATTAATTAACATCATTTATAATTGATGGAGTCCCTTTTTGCACTATAGATAAAATGTGCTAGTAGACTAGTAGTAAAACATTTAGCTTGCAACCAAAAGGTTGGGGTTCAAATTACCTCTGCTGAAATTACTGTCTCAATCTATTTCTCCACACAGCGCCTTTGTTTAAAAATTTTAGTTGTTAATGTTGTTTGTTAGTAAAAATGGTAATGTTAAGGATTGAGACAAAATATTTTTAAAAAATGAGTTGCTCCCTTGACTGAAATGGTCATTGGAGCAATAGGGAGGTGAATTTATGAAATTAAAAAAAAAATCATTGTACTCATACAATTATAAAAATTTGGTATTTTGATCAATTTTTAAAAAAACCCAAAAAACCCATAAAACCCAAAAAAACCCAATAAAACCCATTTGGGTTGGGTTTTTTTAAAAAACCCTGGGTTTTTTCCAACCCTGATACATGCACACCCGCTGT